GTCTCCGAATGCTCTATATATGTGTATCTGGGTGAATTCAATATGTGAACGACCTTGCACCGGAGCTGAGCAAAAGTAAACGGCCAGGCGTGGGGAGCATTTAAGAATATCGAGAGAGTAGTGAAAAATACAAAGAACATCCGGATCCGCACTCACCTTTTCGACACTGCGGTCCTTCCTGCTTTGACATACGTCTCAGAGGCTTGGACTGTACGAAAGCAGGATGGGCATGCAGTTAGCGTCATTCAACGCGCTGTGAAAAGGACGATGCTCGGAATTTCCCTACACACGCAAGTGCAGAAAGGAAGGCGGCGTTCTGAGCTCCGGACGATGATCAAGGATTCCGTTGACTACGCCAAGAAATCGAAAATAATATGGGCCGGGCATGTCATACGGATATAGTGTTGACCGTTGGACCATGCTGTTACGGAATGGTTCCCTCGCGACATTAAAGGAACACCAGGACGGCTGCCGACTCGATGGACAGCCTTTCTCAGCAAGCTTAAACGAAAGGAGTGTTTTGTTCTGTGTCCCTCGAGCGAGTACTATTCATAGGACTACTCTGGCTCGCTGCAGGGACTAGTGGAGAGCTTACCGGCGCCCGTCGAGGAAATCGATGACCAACGGGACGGCAGCTGACAAAAACAGGTGATCCTCCTAAGGAGGAAAAAATAGAGGGATCATAAGGCTATTTGTAAATGAGCATAAATGCTTATTGCATATTTTCGTTAAGTTCAAGTACACAATAGTTTACATGTTTTAGTCGAATTACGCTTGGAGGACGTTCCAAAACTCACAAGAAGAAAATCAAAAAAGTAAAGATCATATGGTATGGTATTTGTATACAAATTTATTGGCAGCTTTCCACATGAATTTTTTGTGAGCTTTTTTATGCAATTGTTGTAATATATATTTCATCAATTAATTTCCGATCTGATTTTTCGTATAATCAAGGATCTTTCTTGTTTTTTTAGAGCAGTGGTATTGCTTGTTATAATGTTGTTTTCAAAGAATATTCTCTTTAAGAATTCTTTGTGACCTTTTTTAGGCAATTGTTGTAAAATATTTTTTATCGATTAATTTCCGATCTGATTTTTCGTATAACCAAGGATCTTTCTTGTTTTTAAAGCATTGCTATTGCTTGTTGTAATGAAGTTGTTTTTGAAAAATATTCTCTTTAAAAGACTGACCAAACCAACCTATTATACATATTCAACTTTGTCTCAAAGGGAAAGCAGAACACTTGAAATACCCAATGCCCGCAATGAACCCTAGGAGGAATGGGAAGGAACTATCCTATCATCCTATAAGAGAGGCACTACGTCGTCAAGCGTTCAAGGTAGAGAACATATCATAGTAAGAGATGATTTGGCTCTGCAGTCATGTATCAATAGATACTACAAAAAGCCCCGAAAATTAGTAAAAAAAAATTGCGGGTTCCCACTAATCTTTCTAACTTCCCCAGTGTACCTACAGGCCCGTGCCCGAGCACTTGTGCATCGCCAACGCTTTCTGAATTGGCTACGTGGGGGCAATTCTATATCGGTAAGAGACACTAGAATCCTGTAATACACGTATAGCTGAACGCAAGACCCAAGGCTGTAATCAAGCTACGCCTCACGCTTGTAATCAAGTGTGGGCACATGTAAATTGCTTGTCTCTGACAGAAGAACACTCATAAATTACCACTGATAGAACATTCATAGGTTGTCCACCGGATCAGGTTCATAGGTCCTAAGTATTCCTTCCCGAAATATGACCCCACAACCATCCAGTTTGAAAAAAATCTAATGATGTACCCGCAAGAGCCTAATAGTCAATTTTGTAACAAAGTCAACCGAAATCAGCACCCACAACACGGACCTCACTCTGCGGACATCCCTCTGATCCACCCTTCTCCAATAAGCCGCTCTTCCTTTTTTTCTTATTTTCAGTGTTACAATCAGATCCTTACATCAGCCTCGGAATTACTGGCTGCTACACTCATTATAATATCTATCTGTACTGTACGCAAAACGCTCGTGTGTGTCTATTACGAAATTACGTAACAGCTGAAGTAGCCAATAGAAAGGTCAAACGTTAAATGTTAACAGTAGGCGGAGCGTGCGTCGAGGTGGGCGGAGTCAAGACGCTTCCCCTTGGAATGCACTTGGACTGGTCGGGACAAATTTGGTATAGCTTGGACATACGGTAAGATGGAAAGAGCACATGTGAACGTAGCCGACACTTATACACGGGACCCGTGCCGTACTCCCGAGTAGTTGGTGCCAAGGCCAAAACTTCCAGTTTTTTTTTCTGAGAAAAGCCCGGAGAGCGGGGAAAGCGGAAAGAGCGAAGACGAGGAATAGACTAACGATCAAGTGAGGAAAACGCACTCACAATGGGCTGAGCCTTCTCACAGAGCGCTGTAGTTCCTACATAAATTCATGATTCAGTTCTACCACGGCCTCTAGTACTCTTGAGAGGCGGAACTCAGGTCATTAAATATACAACTCCGTTTAAAGCGTTCTTTGCCGTGATGTATGCATTAGCGTTCGTAGCCCAATGGTATGATTAAAAATACACTTCAGAGGATCAATTCAAAAGTAAAAAAAGAACATTTTGTTCAATATTTATTAATGTTAGCGAAGCGATACGCAGTTCAATGTACACAGCATCAAATCAGGAAAAAATCGTCCTTCTTCAAGATTTTCTCGAGAATCCAACATCACAGTTATAAACCTACGGAAATGTATGTAGCATAGACAATCATACTGAAAATTGTATATAATTTCCCTCAGATAACAGCGATATGCGTAACACCTCAACCATCAACCAAAAAATACTTTACAAAATTGGAAATAGAATTATGCGCAAAAAAATAGATTAAAAACCATGGATTAGCAGCGCCTACATATCACGCAATAACGTGAAACGAAAAAAATAAAAACAGAAGGATAAGGCGGTCAACTGGGGGTTGAACCACAGTCTTCAAGAAGGATCAAAAATTAAATACCGTAAGTGCTGGAAGACAGGTTGAATCGCCAGAAAGAGAAAACAAGACGAAAGAAGGAACATTGACCGACAACATAGAATTTTTTTGATGTCAACTTGTATAAAAGGACGCTTTCAATGTCCATGCACGTACGTATGTTCCTTATATACAGTACACATTTAAGAAAAAGCCATGGTCCCACAACGAAACTGTTGAGCCATCAACAACTGTATCAAAATTGGGCAAGCGAGCAGGGAAATGTTCAGAACACGATAGATACAGTATTAAAGTGTCGCAACTTTACTGTTACTGTTAGCCTATGATGAAAACACGAGCGACCAACAGGATATTCACAAGCCATTCTATCTAACTAACTAAAGGTTGTACGCACACAATTGCCCGCAGGGATTAGCCCGATAGCGATAAGGTCACGAAACTACCCAGACAAAACTTCAAATGGTCCAGCAGGTGTAGGTAGACTTTGAACGTTTGCCCCTACTTCTAAAGTGGTCCTTGTTCCTGTTAACCATCCTACTCTGTTAGCTCTTTAACTGGGTTTGTCAATTGGCCAACCCACCAGAACGATCCTCAGCGACCACGTACCAATCAACGTACTAGATACTTCACAGTAATGCGTATAACCCTGAGTTGTCTACGCAACATTATTGTACGGAAATTAAACCTGGACGACGATTCACGTTCAGATTTACTAAAAGTTGACAAAAATACTAGCTCATATCAAACCGTGTCGCGTCACACATCAGCCATTAGAGTGAGTAAGAGGCGTGCAGAAAGCCCCACTAGTAGCGAAACCTAGTAAGTCAAGAAAAAACAGAAACAAAAAAGGCAGAATGATTGTAAAAGCTGATGAAAATTGTTATGAAAAATTAAAAATATCGATGAAGATCGATGAAGAGACACCGGAATCCTGTACAATATAGCTGAACGCAAGATATAAGGCTGAGCTTTAGCGCGAGCAAATTAACATTTGCTTACCACGAGTAGAAAAATACTCATAAATTACAATGAAAACGTCATTGCTCTCATAAAAAATGCGCTTTGCTTCGCGCGTCCGTTGGAATAGGTCACGCCGCAGTCATCACACGCGTCGCGTCAGCTCGCGATTCCTGACGGACGTCGCAGTTATAAACGGGGCATACGATTTGCGCCTGATCCACGCAGCTCGAAGAGAAGATAACACTGACTAGTGCAAAACATTCGCTTCACTGACACATGATGAGATCCCAGGGGGCTGCGCCGCGCGCGGAGTAGGCGGGGTGACCTAGTTTCGACGGACGCGCGGAACGGACGTTTCCCCATAAAAAAAGTCAGCTGTAAGCAAATACGAGATATTCGCGATCAAACAAAGCAGTATAGAGCACAAATATTGTAATTTGTGCATGTTGTACAGATTAAAAAGATCCAAAACCTGATAGGTGCCATTCCCAAACCCGAAAATTACAAAAACCGCTTTGCCTGACTATGAATAAACAAGTGTGGCCAAGTATATGCAGCTTGCTCTCTTCCTCTATCACTCTGGTTTTCACTGTATGGGCAACATTAATTCAATAATAAACATATCATCTAGTTGTTCCAGATAGCTATTTCAAAGTTCTCATCAACGTGAATTTCTGAGAAAGAAACTAAAAACTAAAACAAACTACCATAGTAGTAAAAGTAATTGGGCTTATTTATCGACTATTTCATAGCAACGAGATAGAAAAAAATGGGAAAAAGGAAAGCTATTTGGGCTTAGAACCAAGATGATCGAGGTTTGCTGTAAGCCAACAGAATAATCAAATCAAACTTGGCGGCTGTACGCTTGGAGATGCTTCATCCGTTGAATCGGCTCCTTTAAGACGAAGACGAGTGAAGTCTTCAAAGATCAGATCATCATCATCCATACGCATATCGTTGCTGAAATTCAACAATATCAATAAGACCTGACCATACTCAGCCTAAAAGGGGCAAGGGTATAGAGGCCCCTTAGGCAATTTCAGAAACAGATCCTGAAATATCTCTTTCCAGGAGAACCCCGGTCCCAGTAGAGATGTCTTGGAGANGGAGTAACATCTCATTCAGCCATAATTACACTAATTACTTCATTGTAACACGAGAGCAACAAAATTAGCCCCCTATGACAAGTGCAATGACGTACGGCCCATCTTTTCTTCTCTGAGTGTGCTGCCTTTTCTTTGTCATTGAGGTAGCAAAGTCGAGAAATGAATGAGTATTTTGAAAAGGGACGGAAGTGGTATAGTGACAAATGGCGCACCATTACACACCCATGGTCACGGGATCAATTCCCAGATCGATATTCGTCTGGGCACACGTTACATCAATCCGAGCTCGTTAAATTGGTAACAGAATTGTCTGAAGAGAAAAGCACTGATTTATACATTAGCTGGCCACTGCTTGTCATTGTTCAAGCCACATACGCACCATATAACCCACTACGATTCTGAATGGAAGCCGAATGCGGGGCACATCCTACAGGCGGGATTGCTTAGCGATCGAAGGGACATTTTACCGGTCCTTTTTTGCGAAAAGTTCATGGAAAGGATAATAACTGAGCGAGATTCCATGAAATTTTGTGATAGAAAGGGAGTAATGCCGATAGGGTGATGTGCTGATAGAGCATGCAAAATAACCGTTAAGCAACTTCCAACGATGATGAACACAAAAGGGTAAAACGTGTGTGGTTGTAAACAAATCATGTAAACAAAACTATAAATAAGAAAAACAGAAATTTTGGGCGTTCTGTAGATACTGGCGAATTCACTACGTTGCAGTTCGCTGATAGCAAAACATTTTAAGGAGATGGAGTTGTCTAATGTTGTCACATCAGCCACTTTTCCAACGAAAAAGAAATTTAAAATTTAAAAGAAGTAAAAGTGTTTCAGAACACAAAATAAAAAAAGAAATAAACATGTCAATTTTAAAAACTTTTAAATTACACTTACATTTCTTCATTAAGCTGTATCAAGTCGATATCCAATGGATCCGGGCCAGTATCTCCTTGAGCAGGTCGATTGGTTATGGATCGTTCCTGGAACTGATTGAGTTACATTTCTTTGATTTAAATGATCGTTCTCTTCCTTCTAACATATCCAACTGTTTCACCATCTACAATTTAGCATCCCTAATCCTGTCAAGATCGATATTGGTTCAGGTCACATCTCTCAAACTGCAAGTCTGCTTGAAAACGCTCCTCCAAATGTTCCGACATGAAGTCCATCATAGTGAACGACATCTGCGCCCGTTTGAGAAAAAAACCCTATCTCCAACCGCAATATATCAGTTCCGCAATCATTCTCACAACCCCTGTCCTGAGTTAATTCCGATTCCACCAACCATAAACGGTAAAGATCGTTAAAGCGTGATTGACGACGTTTGCCAAGATGAGGACAAGTACATGCGTCAATAAATCCAATCGAAAGCAGTAGCATTTAGATGGACTTTTTTTGATGGTATGTGTCTGCTGCAATATGTGCTTTTTACAGCGCGTTGAATGACGCTGAACATGCGGTCAGCGACAATCAACACGCTATAGAAAGAACGATGCCCGAGATTTCCCTTCATATGCAGGTGCAGATGGAAATCCGAACATCAAGCTCCGTCAGTGAACGAAGATCAGGGATGCTGTTGCTTAGGCCAAGAAACTGTTGATCAGGTAGGATCGCTATCGCGCGATGACCGTTGGACCAGAGCGATTACTGACTGGATCACCCGGAGCGTCAAACGAGGACAGTACGACTGTCACTGCGATGGTCAGAATTCTCCACGAAAACTTTGAACGGAAGGAATGCATGCATCGTGCCCCTTGAGGGAGAACGACTGGACCCTGGCTCACTACAGGGACAAATAGATACGTTAATAACGCCCTCTCGAAGAAATCGATGACCAACGGGACGACAGGTGATACAGGTGATGGAAGGAAAAGGCTGCTCAGGAAATCCAACAGACTATGACAGCTTTTGAATAGGTTTCGCTTAAGTGATTTAAACGATCTAAACATGTTCCTTTTTTGGAATGGAGTTGACCAGAGTACACCGAGCAGTAACATGAGACCGTCTCACAAAGAACTAGGGATAGAGAGGAAACAGAAATCTGATGCACCAGGAACCCGAAACACAAAATCCTAAATAGGAAATTTTAGATCCTAAAAGCGTATCCGTTACCATTTCTTGGTCGAGTGTGCAATGCCAGTGACCCTTACAAAAAAAANCCAAGAGTAATTACCATTTAACTGCCTAAATTTATAGAATATCATGTGATAAACCAAAATATCTCAAAAAATATTTTTTTCTAGTAAAAGTTGCAAAGCTTAGTTGCTTATCTAATTGAGGATATCAGCAATTCCCAGATTCAGGAGGTCCTTTTGGAAGATGCAGCAAAGGTTCAGTTACGATTAGCGAACACAAAAAACCTTTCAATCAAAAAGAAAAAACAATTTCAAGATTGAATAAATAAACACAATAATAAATGGAGCGCAATTTTGTAAACTGGCACGAATAAAACCAAAAAAAAAAGCAATTTCGGATTACTCACCCTCCTTTCTGGAGTTTCAGCAGGTTTTGCATGAGTTAGAGTGAACGGTAGCTCAGCTACCAATTCTCCTCCAAGGGGTCCAGCAATTGCGGCTCGTATTTTTACTCGATAGGCAACAACTATTCCAAGGCTTTCTTTCGTTGTTGATGGTTGCATTCTGTAACTCGACACAAACTTGTAAACTTGTAAACAATACAATGCTGTATTTCTTATATAACGAGCCAAGGCGAAGTGGTCTTTTGCTAAAAAGTAATTTCAGTTCCACTCACATCGTGCTTGAGGCCAGATTTGTATCTTCATGTTTCAACTGTCCATCCAGAGCCAAACCACGTTTATCCTTATTGTTACGCAATAGCGGACATACAGAATACACTTTTGAAAGTGTCGCGCCAGGTCCAACAGGAAAACCTTCACTAAAACAAACAACTACGACAATCAACTACTAAGTGAAGGTGTGCGTTTACTTGAGCTATCGATGCTCCAGAAATTTGATACTAAATGATAGAGCACGGTACTTTTAAGTGTTTAGGAACTTGATACAGCATGATACATGACGATATTTCTATTTGAAACCTTATCCGACGATATATAAAACAAAACTCACGCGCTTTCAACCCGTGCAACTTCACATGTGTAAGAGGCGGTTGTGAAAAGGCAAATATCTGCCACTTGAACAACACTCACCTAGAAAATAAACTTTAAAACAGTAAAATCTTTACAAAAAAAAGATCAGGACAAGACAAAACGAGCAGATTAATGAAAAAACAGCTAAATTGAAGCTACGTGAAGCTCTTCACTATGAAGACTCAAAAACTAACCTTCAACTTTTTCACTGACTTATTACTATTGTTTTGTAAATGCACATTTACTGCAATCGATTCGCCATGATAGTACATCTGAAATTAAAAAAAGACACTTTGTAGGACTTTGATTGCGGCGCCAATGTAAGCAACAACAACAAAAAATGGTAATTTAGACCAGTAATAGGTGGGGGAAGTGATTGAAAGT